GTCCTCATATTCCCCTGAAGATTACGAGTGTACCCTCAAACAGGTACAAAAATAATGATAGTTAATTAACAGTTAGATTGTTAGGTCTTTTCTTAGAGAAATATATATATATTTTTTATAAGATTAAGTTGTTCTAAGTAATTATTGTCTTTGGTATTATATATGTTTCACGACTTTGATCATTAACATTGCTTTGTTATGCAGAAACGACATATCGCTTTTTAGTTGACTATGGAAAGACATATCTTTTCCGCATAATTAATGCAGCAATGAACGAAGAACTTTTCTTTGGGGTTGCCAATCACAACCTCACAGTTGTAGGCATTGATGCTTCCTACACAAAGCCCTTAAACACCAATTTCATAATGATAACCCCAGGACAAGCAATGGATGTGTTGGTCACAGCAAACCAGCCAAAGAGTCTCTACTACATTGCTGCTACTCCTTTCTATGATGGCATTGCTATGTATGACAATTCCACCACAACAGCTATTCTGCAATATAGTGGGAATTACACACCATCATCCATTCCCATGCCTATGCTTCCTGCAGTGAATGATTCTGGAACAGTATTTGATTTTACCAAGAGTTTGAGGGGTTTAGCAAGCCATGATCACCCTGCTAATGTGCCAACAAATGTGACTAGAAAAATTTATATGACAGTATCCATGAATGAATTACCTTGTCAAAATCTAAATGCAAGTTGTTTAGGACCTAATGGAACAAGACTGGCTTCAAGCTTAAACAACATAAGTTTTCAGATCCCACAGATTGATATACTTCAAGCATACTACTGGTATATACTTTCATGAGAAATGTTAGCGTGTCTAACACTTTTTAACTAATATTGTCTGTAATTGGTTGAAATTTTCATATTTTAGTGGATCTTACTACTAAATCAGAAGAAAAACTCATTAAATAAAATGTGGTACTCATGAAGTTTGTGATTTTTAATAAATTTTAATTAATAATAAAGAATATGTTAGAGAGAATGTCACTAGCATTCTTCCTACTTTCATTTAGAATCCCACAATTTCCTTTAGGGCATGTAAACGTTGAACACGTATGTAATTGATCTTTGCATGTACATGCAGGAAGATTTCAGGAGTTTTCAGTGAGAACTTCCCGGATCAACCACCTTTCTTTTTCAACTTCACAGGAGATACGGGAAGCAATACTCTAATCCCAAGCACAGGAACCAGGGTGCTAATGTTTGACTATAATGAGGTTGTTGAACTTGTATGGCAAGGAACTATTGTTCTTACTGCTGAGAATCATGCCATGCACCTTCATGGTTTTAGCTTCTTTGTGGTGGGAGTGGGGACAGGAAATTTCAACAATGTAACCGACCCAGAATCCTACAATTTGATTGATCCACCAGAAGTTAATACCATTGGTCTTCCCAAGAGTGGATGGCTTGCCATAAGATTTGTTGCAAACAATCCAGGTAAATATTTTCACATGCGCACGCACATATATAGTGGAATTGTTATTTACTTTCAAACAATAATTTGATCAAATATCACTCATTAAGTTTGCTTACAGGAGTATGGTACATGCATTGTCATCTTGAGAGGCACACTAGTTGGGGTATGGATACTGTTCTCATTGTGAGAGATGGAGGTACCTTGCAAACTAGTATGGTTCCACCTCCTGAATACATGCCACCTTGTTCTTAATGAAGACAAAGTGTACCTGTCTGAGGGTACACTCGTAATCTTCAGGGGAA